ATTTAAAAACCAGAAATATAAAAAAATTACGAAAAAATATAAAAAAATAACGAATGAATATATGATATTTTTCATATTTTTCAATTCTTAATTTTTTAAAGTTTTTTTATTTATATTTCAAAAAAGATTTTTTTTTTCGAAAAATTAATATAAAAATTAATATATAATAGATTGATGAGAATTAAAATCAGAAATAAAATTTTTTCATATTTCTATTACTTGATTCAATTTAAAATTCATATATCAATATCATAAAAACTTTTGAGAATTTGATCTGATTAATTTCAGTTTTGAATATTCAAAACTATACACATTTAAACATTCTAAATCTATTTTCAATCTGGTTTCAAAAAAAATTCCCAATTTGACCTGAATTCGAAATCTTGAGTATTGATTATATCTCTTATATTAATATTTTAGTTTTAAAATAAATTCAATAAAATAAATCATATTTTAATTGTTCTAACTTTAATTGATTAAAAATTTTTAAACTTTTAATTACAAATCTTTTAATTACATATCAATTAAGTTTATTTATATAATATCAATTATATAAATAAAATAATATTATTTTTTTACTTTATATAATATTATAATTTATTTAAACGAAAAAAAATATGTAGATAATAACATAGATAAAATTTTATTATAATATGTTTCATATTGAATTTTAATAGATAAAATAAGCAAAAAATTTAAGAAGAAATTCTAGAAACTTACAAAAGAAATATAAAAATTGATAAAAATGATTCTTTTTTCTATCTAATTCTCTCAAACATTATATATATCTATGTAAATTATCTATATCTATGTAAATTATCTCTATCTATGTAAATAATTATACCTTCCAATTTTTTTAATAATCGTAAAATAACATAAAAAAATAAAATACTTTTAAAAAATATAAATCTATTACTTCTAATTCATGACCAGTAAAATGTGCTCTCAATTGATACAAGTAAGTCATCACAGCTAATTTATCAGGTACAGTCAATATATCCATATCTGCTGGTTCTATTACTCTAGGTATCCCAAGAGCTTCTCCAGCATCAAATGCTTTTTTACAATTACCCTTTACATCATGTGGCAATAACGAATCAATGTCTCTGCAAATTATCATTTAATTATTATATCAGATATTTACCATTTTATTTCTGTTAAAAATATTTAAAAATAAAATATAATTTTAAGTTAATTTTAAACATTTGTGAAAAAAAAATAATCATTTTTAATATCATTATTATGATAATATAATATAATTTTTGAATCATATCTTAAAAGTTTTAAACATGTTTTATACATACATAAGATCTGATCTAAAATGATGTATGATTGCACAAAATGCCATTCCATTTCTCCAAGATGTTGTAAGATTAGTAACTTTCACTCCAGAATAATCTTTAGTTACTTCTTTACACCATTCTAATAAATCCTGACCTGGAGTAATTTCTTTTAATTTAGGAATATTGGCATCATTCTTTTTTAATTCTAATGGTTGCAATGGTAATCTTATCAATGTATGTTCAATATTTTTACTGCAATAAATATTTATTAAAGATATTAAATTTATTTTTTTTTAGCATAGTTAATATTAATTTTTCTACACATTTCTTAATATACTTGTTTTCAACAGCAATAGTATCCTTTAAAGGTGATTTTTCTTTAAAAGAATCACCAATGCCTGACAAACTAACATCACGGATGATATGATCGCTATCATTTACAGGAGTGGTATCATCTTTTGATAAACTTGCCACTGTAAAATATACAATATAATTATGAATATGTATTGATATATTATATGTAAATAAATAAATAAATATATATATATATATATATATTAAAAATAAATATATATAATTTTTAAATATAATTATTGAACATACCACTTATTGGAGTACTAGGTAATTCACTTTCAGTAAGACTACTTGTCATTAGATCAAGTTGAGCAGAGATATCTAAAATTTCATCAAGATTTTTTCCAGATACTTCTTCAACATCTTCTGGTATATCTTCATTATCAAAATCATCTAAAGGTGCAATATCACTATTGTTGTTAACTGACATTAAGCTAGCCATACTCTGCATATCTTCATCCCTGATTAAAAATTATAATAAAAGTATTAAATTTGATTAGTAATATATTTCAAATATTTAAAAATATTTTCTTACGTTGCTTTGCCTTCTCTTAAAAAGACACAAGATAAAGTACATTCTAATGTAGCATTAACAATTTTTTTTGATGTAGGTTTTAAATCCAATTTAAGTTGTTGTTGACTAGATTCTAAAGTAGCATATTTTTTCATGTTTATGTTTGTAGCAGCTACATGTCGTCTTTTACCAGTAGACGAAACCTAGTTATATATAATTAATAATTAATATATTAATTTATATTTTCTACAATAATATTTATAATATAAATGTTTATATTTGTTTTTCCTTACATCTTCAATTACAAATGTCCAATCTTTATCTTCTAATTCATGGGTTCGTGGATCTTTAAACAAAGTTACTGAAACTGTATGATTGTCAGGAACAGCCCAACTAATGACACCTTTTAATGGATCACTTAAACTGGGTTCCCAATCTAATGGTTCTGAACTAACTCTTCTACTACGTCTTGTCCATACAACACTTAGTTTGTTTGGCTTCCTATATAATAAAAAATAGCTTTTATATATAGCATAAAATAGTTTCTAATAATATTTATATTCACTATATTACGTTCATAATAATATTACAATGTATATAAATATCTTATAAGATAAAATTATAACTAATAATATGTATTATATATTTAAAAATAAGTGAATTAATTTTCCTTTTATATAATTTTTTTATTAATCTTATAATCAAATATAAATACTAATTTATAACAAATGCATATTTTAAATTTTTATATTGTTTACAATATATTTTATTATGTTATTTTATATGAATGAAAAATTATATATGTATAATATATATACATATATGCTTGTATCAAATCAATGACAAAATGTCATTCTTTATTTTATAAATGACAAATACTATTTTTTTTTTATATAAGTTTTTGAACATATATAAAATTTTAAATAATATATAAATACAAAAATTTTAAATAATACAATAAATAGCATTTTATACAATAAAGTTTATACATATATATATATATATATATGCTCTATATAATATATTATATCATGTTATAAAATGTATTTGACATTTGTTAGAAATGACTTACGAATAATTATATTAAACATTAAATTAGACTTTGATTATATTTTGAAAAAAATTCATAATACTCACCATTTTGTTGTCGTTTGTAAAGTAACTTCATGATATGATACAGTAAATTGAAATTTTGCGGCTCTCTTGTTTACCCGTTGTAATCGTTTCCAAACAGAACTCATTTTTTATTAAATTAATTTTTCAATGATTTTTGTATTTTTTTTTTTTTTTTTGAATTTATAATTACTTATATACGTGTCTAACGTGACACATCATTTTTGACAAAATTATAGAAATTAAAAAATCAGTTACTTACAAACCGTGCAAAGAAAATATTTTTTTTATTTTAGGTTATTGAAGTATTAAGGTTGTAAGATTCCTTAATCATTCATGTATTTAACATTTTTACTAGTATAATATGAACAAAAATATATATTTCTCAATTCATGAATTCACAAATTTTTTAATTTATTATATATTCCATTGTCATTTTTATAGCAACAATATTATTTATAAACAAAATAATATACATTTATAGATTAAAAAACTTTGATTAAAAAAACTACAATCACGAGATTAAAAACTTTTCCAATCAACTTGATCTTTGACGAAACCTTTTCAACTTATTGATCTTATATTATATAATTTTATGGTAGGAAACTTGATTGTAACATCATTGAACAAAGAAAATTTAATAATTTTAAAGTTTGTATAATTATTTTTAAAAATTTATTTTTTTATAAATTATTGTAAATATTTAATTGTTTATTAAACATTTGTAAAAATAATAATTACAATTATTACATGAAATAAAAAGTAAAAACTTATTTTATATATATATTTAATATTAATTACATATATATTACATTATAATACATATACATTAATTATCATTTATATAATACAGATAATTTTATTAAACTAAATTTTATAATTTATATTTTAATATAATTGGAAAACATAGAGGGTATTACTGACTTAGTGTGTCAAAATATAACTAAAACATTTCCTCTAGTATTCATATATTTCATGAATTTACGCGCGCTTCTTTGTTTAAAATCAAATTTCAAAATTACAAATCTAATGTTTTTTAGTAATTTTTGAATTCGATAAAATATATATTTTACAAATTAAATAGAAAAAAAGTAATTTTTATAAAAATAATTTTATTAAATTTATGTAAAATAAAATAGTTTTATTAAAAAATTCATATTTAAAAATTATTAAGAAATAAATGAAATTTTCTTTTAAAAATATTATTGGTTTTATTAAGGTCAGAATGTTAATAATAATATCTAGTTATTAATTGAATTTCATCATTAATCATGCAATATAATTACATCATGTAATGTTATCTAATATGTACAATGTATCTATATGTACAACAATGTATCTATATATTTATTATGCATTATTCATGCTATTGATAATTATAGTAAAAAATACAAAATTATCTTATGCAATAAATACCATACAAAAAGAAATATTTATTTCAGTTTAAAATTCTTATAGCTGAAGTAAAGAAGGCTTCAAACGAGACAAACGATTTAAAAATTATTTTAAATTTGCAAGTTATTTAAATTTTAATTTTTGAAAATAATTTAATAAAATTGTTTATATTTAATAATTATTATTCTCGTATTAATATATAAATATATATATATATATATATTATAATTAATACATAATAATTGTGTTTCATCAATATTAATATTATATTAATAAATTAATAGTTATTATATTTATATTTTAATTATTATATTTTAATTATTATATTTTGATATATATTTTATAATTTGATATAAAAAATTTTTAACTTTTTTTAACATAACAAAAATATTCAAGGTGATTGAAGTTATTATTCTATTCTGTATATTTTAATTTATTTCGATATATTTAATATTTAGGATATTCCGTAACTGATATCGAATAGAAAATGATTTTATAAAAAAAAATAAATCAAAAATATCGAAAAAAATTTTGTTATTTTAGGCATTTAGGCTTCGTTTTCGAGTAAAATAAATTTGAAAAATTTTATAAATAATTTAATAAACAGGAAGATTAAATTCGAATAAATTATCAATGATTATTCTACATATGAAAATAAGCAGAAGTATAGAATAAAATTTTATATCTTATAATTTTATATTTTTTTTTTTTTCAAAAAATTGAGATTGAACATATACAATCAAAGTCATATAATTAGCAAATTTTTAAATTAAATTTTCTTGAAAATTAATTTTTGAATAAAACAAATTTATTCTATTATTTTCAAATATTGTAGAATATGTGAATTACCAGTTATAAGATATCCTTTACGTTTTATTATATCATGTAATATATCAAAAAAAGATTATTATTTGAATTTTTGAATTTTTAAACAATTTTTTTTTAAAAAAATAATATTTATGCTCGGATTATTCTCATATTTTTTAAACAATTGAAATTTTTTGTTTTTTTTCACGGCTTTTAATACATAATTTATTTTTACTTAATTGCCAAAGAATATCGAAATTATAATATATCTATATCCTATCAAAATAATAATATTATTAATATATTACTATATCAATAAATATTTTACAAATTAAATTTAAAAAATTTTTTAGAAACGTATATATTAAAATATTATAATATTATTACTTCTAATAAATTAATGAATTTTAGTTTTGATAAAATTTTGAAAATTCTTGCTTGTTTAAATAATTAAAATTACAGCATTTTCAAAATATGAAGTTAAACTATTATTTTTTAGATACATATAGAAAATTTAAGATTATTTATAGATATAAGAATACAAAAATAAAATATTAAAAAAATATATTTTTGTGTTAAAATATTAAAATAATTTATAAAATATTAAATATATTTTAATTGTCATTATACCAAAATGAACTAATTAATATAAAGAATTTAAATTTAAATTCTCTTTTTATGATAGATAATTAAACATCATGTTATTAGCTACGTGGCTAATACCGGATATTATTGCTATTGCAAGTCTTATCATTGTTGGATTGTATTTATATTATAAATTATATCTTTTTAAATTTTGGCATAAAAAAGGAATATTTTATGTTAAACCTAGTTTTCCAACTGGAAATATAATGCCAATAATAACTGGTAAAATATCATTAGGTAAGCATATATTATTTAAAAATTAAATTTAAAAATTTATTTTATTTTATTTAAAAATTATATTAATCATTTTATTTTTAAATAATAATTTGAAGAAAATTCTTATATAAATTTTTTTTAAATGTATATATAAGAAATTTCATGCTTTTTTAAAATTATTAATATTTAAAAACTATTTAAATATTTAAAAACTATTAATAACTTTTAAAATTATTAATAACTATTAATTATATGTATTGCGATTTATTATTGAATTTTTTAAATTATATTGATCAATATTTTTTGAAAAAACAATTATGAAAATATTATGATAATTGATCGATTTTCTAAACTTAGATAAAATTGTACAAGAATTAAAACGATAAGTAATAATTATTATTATATTTAACTATTTATTAAATATTTATTAAGTAATATTTTATTTTATATATTGACTCATAATTAGATTGATTAACGAATCTTTTATGTATCTTTTATGTATGTATTGTATATATACCTATTAATATTCCATTAATAATTAATATATCGTATTTCTATTTTTGAAATAGGATTAGACAATTGAAGAAAAAAATAATTTATATAATCAAATATAATTAATAATTTAATAATTTTATAATAATATTTTTATATAAGTATTAGCATTTAATATTATTTGCAGTTTTTATTTGAAGTATTTTATTTATTTATTGAAATCTCATAAAAAATTAAAAAATCAAGTTAAGTCTGAACTTATTAATAGATTTTTCTAAAAATTAAAATTTTAGATATATTTAAAATATTTAAAATTATTCTACAATATTATCAAATATTTTTCAATATTAAAACAATTTAAATAATAATTAAATTACTTTTACATAAAAGGATTCTATAAAAATAAAGTTATTCAAATATTTAATTGTAAGAAACACAAATTATTCCTTTTGAAGTTCTAAGGATCAAAGAAAGTGAATTATTATATAATCTGTAATTAATATAAAATAATGTAATCTAATTTACATAATCTATAATTAATTATATACATATTATTTATAAAATTTTTAATTTTAATTTTTATAGCCGAGTTCTTTAGAGATATTTACGAACATAATAAAGATCATCCTCTCGTTGGCATATATATGTTTTATAAACCTTTTTTGATTGTGAATGATCCTAATTTAATTCGAGATATATTGACAAAAGAGTTTACAAGTTTTCATGATCGTGGAATATTTTGTAATGAAGAAATAGATCCATTATCTGGACATCTATTTCAATTACCAGGAAAAAAATGGAGAAATTTAAGAGTAAAATTGACACCAACTTTTACTTCAGGAAAAATTAAACAAATTTTTCCGATTTTAAAAGAAGCTGGAAATATCCTTGCAAAATATTTAGAAGAAGAAGCACTGAAAGGATCAACAATCGATGTGAAAGATATATTTGCAAGGTAAGTAATAGAGCTAATAAGCTAAATGAACTAAGTAAGAAGATAAATAAGAAAACAGAATTTTTTTCATTTTCTTTATATATAATAAAATTTTAAATAAAAATATAACTCTTATGATATAACTGAGATATTCTTGAAATATATTATGATAAATAGAATATTGTTCTATTCTATATAATTCGAAATGATCTTTTCTTATTTAACATGAGAATTTTGTTTTATTTAAAATAAACAATTTATTTAATGAACATTTAATAACATTTAATACGATTAAAATATTTAATACGATTAATATATATAATGATTTAAAGATATTTTTTAATTTTTTATCTTAAATTTGTAAAAAATTAAATATATTATTTTTAAAAATTTTTTTGAATATATTTCTACATTTATTATTTTTTTCTAAACAAATTGTTAAAAAATAAAATAAATATTAATTAAAATATAAAATGAAATTTTTATTGCATTTAAACATTTTAACACTAAGAAATTATAATAATAATTCTATTTCTAATTTTTCATATATATTATTATATATATATATATTATTATAGAATATATAAATTTATTTTATACGATCTCTTTTTCATGTTTAGATTTGTTTACATTCTATAATTTTTTCCAGATATTCGACTGACATTATCATGTCAGTGGCATTTGGAATATCATGTGACAGTTTTAAAGAACCAAATAATGAATTTCGATATTGGGGAAAGAAAATATTCGATCCGAAACCTTTTTGGAATGCTCTTATTTTATTTGCTCCACAAGTCCTTGATTTTTTTTCAATACCATATACCGAAAAAAGTATTATAAATTTTTTTACAAATATGTTTAAACAAACTGTGGAATATAGAGAATCGAATAACATCGAAAGAAAAGATTTTCTGAATTTATTGATTCAATTAATGAAAAATGGATATGTAGATGCGGATGATGAATCATTATCAAATAACGTAAATGCTGCAAGTAATTTTTTTTTTAATCAATATTTTAAAAAAATATATATTTTAATATTAAGAAAAAATAATATTAATAAATAATTATTTTTTTTTATAATACAAATAGAAAATAAGTTAACCATGATGGAAGCTGCGGCGCAAGCTTATGTCTTTTTCTTAGCTGGATTTGAAACATCATCAACTACAGTCACATTCTGTCTTTATGAATTAGCAAAAAATCAAGATATCCAGAATAAACTCCGTGAAGAAATTCGAATAATGATTGAGAAAAATGGCGATTTGACATACTGCGCACTAAATGATATGAATTATCTTCATAAAGTGATTTCTGGTTCGTATATATTAATAATAATATTAACAATATTTTATATTTAAACTTGGCCAATATTTACCAATAATATCAATACTTTAAGAAATTGTTAAAATATTTCTAAAACAATTATCAACGAAAACATGCAAAAATAATCATATATAAACTTTATTTTTTTAAAAGAAATTGAGGAAGATCTAAAAACTTTATGCGTTTAAGATCTAAAAACTTTAATGCGTTTTTCGCTTTTTTAAATATAATTCTGTGCAGAATAGAGTAAAATTATAATTTACAAAATGTTTAAAATTTAATCTATTATTCTGTTGTAAAAAAAAAAATCTCAAAATTATACTCAAAACTTGAAAAAATGTTGAAACTTCGAAGATTGATATCTTATCTTATAGAGATTTCTTGTTGACAAAACATCTTTATAATAAAAATTGTTCTATATATATATATAATATATAACAGAAAACAGAAAATAATTATGTATAAAGAAATTTATATATATTTTTGTTATAAATAAAATAAATAAAATAACAATTTGAATAGAAATTATATATGAAATTGCATAAAAATAGTCTTTCTCATTTTTTTTCTTTATCTTTTTTAAACAGAAATTTCTTAAAAAGAAATTAAATGTATTATATTTATAATTAGACTTCCACATATCACTTAATTTTCTAATCTTTCTGCTAATTATATTATGAGAATATTTCTTTTAAAATAATGTTCCTACTATATTTTATTGATAAATAAATATTATTTATTCCATAATAATTAATAGTATAAATTAATAGTATTAATAATATAAAAGTATTAATAGTAGAAATTATATATAAAATTTAATTTATTTCAGAAACTTTAAGAAAATATCCACCAGTTGTTATTTTAAATCGTATTTGTACAAACGATATAAAATTGAATACAACAGATTTTTGCATACCGAAAGGAACTTCCGTAGCCATACCTGTTTTTGGTCTTCATCGAGATTCTAATATATTTTCTAATCCAGAAAAATTTGATCCAGAACGATTTTCCGAAGAAAATATAAAAACTAGGCATCCTTACGTATATTTGCCATTTGGTGAAGGACCACGAATATGTATCGGTAAATATATTTTTATTTAAAATTATATATATGTGAATATTTTATTTTAACAATATATCTATATATTAATTTATGATAACAAAATAATTTATACTTTAGCAAATTAAATAATAATTCAATTTTTTATATTTTTGCATATTTCTTAATTCTAATTTCTTTTTCGAAAGTATTACTGATTAAAAAAATAAAATATTAAATAAATAAATTTAAATAGATAAATATGTGTATAAACACATTTTATTGAAGATTATAGAATAGAATATTTTCAATGACAAATAAATAACATGAACATTAATTTTCAATAAAAATAAAAAAAATAAAATAAAATTATGATAGAAATAATTAGAAAATTATAATTGATATAATTATTATATATATTGATATAAAATTAGAAATTAATTATGAATTAAAAATTAATCAATGTACCAAAACAATATTATTTGACTTTTTTAGGATTACGATTTGGTTTGATACAAACAAAAATTGCTATGATTAGTGCTCTATTAAAAAATAAATTCAAACTTGGACCAAATACACCATCTTCTTTGGAATTCGAGGAAGGATCCCTCATATTAATAGGAAAAGGAGGTATACATCTAAATATTGAGCCAATATAATTTTAATTATTAAGAATTTTAATAATATTATTCTTAGAAGTGATATTTGTAAGATAGTTTTATATTTTTCTTAAAATACTTATTGTACTTAATATTATTTTATATACATTTTACTCAAGATAAATAATAATAAATTTAGCAAAATTTTATTATATGTTTAATATGTTTAATTAAAAAAAATGAGTTTTTTTCAAGAAATACTTACTCAGTAGACAAAAACAAAAAAATAAATAAATTTATGATAACATAGAAAAAAATCATAGTTTACTTTCCATCAATATTAATAATTTTTCTAATAATTTATTAAAGATTTATTAAATTTATTTTTATTAAATTTTATATTAGTACTAAATTAGAATACAAACAAAAATAAAAAAGAACGAAAATAAGATACTTAATATTTAATATATATGACAAATATAACTTTATTTCATATTAATTTCTATTTTTAATGTATATACTTCTATATGAAAATAAAATAAGAAAAATTTATTTTTTAAAAAAAATAAACATTTAATGCGAGGTAATAATTGTTTAATAATATTTATATTCTTATACTTATCTTGAACAAAATAAGAGAAAATCATATATTTGATAAAAAGGAAGAAAATTCAGAGAATTTAAACGGAACACGTTTGATACTTCAACAATTTATTTTACAATTTGACATGATATTTCGTTATTCTTGAACGATGACAACAATAACACTAGATTCCACTAAAACGTCCAATTTGAAAGAATCTAGTACCGATAACCTTTAATACCATAATTATCAGTCGGTAAAGCATTAGCTAGACTAAGAAGTTCCGAACGATGAAGACCGTTCGGCTCGTGAAGCAGTCCAGATGCTGGAAGAGCAATAGTTTCTTGATAACCAGTAGATACAAGAGCATCCGTTTGATGTAATCCAGTTGACGCGAGAAGAGAACCATGTGGACGAAGAGCAGGTAGATCAAGGGCAGGTTCTGCGACTGCAGGTGCATGTCCATGTTGAGGAGGAAGTTTCGGAAGTGGTGAAGGCTTTGTTGGTTCGTGAGTCAAAAGCGCAGAAGCAGCAGCATTATCAGCCACATGCGCAGCAGCAGCAGCAGCGTTATTTTGCGCAGCCGCGGCTGCATTCGCAGCTTTTTCTGCAGCTGCTTGGGTAGTTTCGTAGTCGAGACGCGCAGCAGAAAGTTGTTCATCTACCGATTCCGCTCTTGCTTTCGCTTGGCCAAGCATAGTAGTTTGTGCCGCCAATTCGGCTGCAGCTTCAGCGGCAGCTTGTGCTGCACGATCAGCTGTGGCTTGGGCCGCATTCAAAGCTGCTGTGGCTACTTGCAATTGATGCATGGCTTGTTTAGCGGTAGTTCTTGCTGCGCTTGCGGCACGTTCAGCTTGTTGTAATTGTAAATTTTCACTGTCTACCGCTACATGAGCGTCTTTCGATTGTTGTTCCAATCCCTGCACTACGATCTGTTTTCCAGCAAGTGCTGCAGCCGCAGTTGCTGCGGATTGAGCAGCAGCTTGCGCCAATGTGTTTTTCGCAACGAATGCAGCTTGTCCGGCTGCGGAATGTTGATTGCTCAATTGCGTATGCGCTTGTTCCGCTGCGCCTTTCGCGATGTTGGCCAAAGGACCACCTACACTGAAACCTGGATGAGAAATCCCGTGACTGTGTGGAACTGATGCTGGGGCTAAGACAGGAGTTTTAGCGAAAGCAGTGGAATCAACAAGTGCTAGTGCTGGTTCATGCGCATATTCGTATTCATAACTTTGAGCTTCTTGATCATGAGCTTGCTTCTTCGCTAGACCACATTGTACCAGACAAATATATGTTAATAGCAGCAACAGTAGCTTCATTTTTAATCTTTTAATTATTTTTTTTCGAAAATATTTTTTTTTAATCTGTAATAAGAAAATATTAATGTTAATAAAAATCTGTAATACATAAATAAAACTTTTAAAAAGTTTTTTTTTTTAGATGGATAGAATAAAATATATGTTTGTTTTATCTAGACATTAGATTATCTTAGAAAGAATTAAAAGTATAAAAAAAAATATTTAGACAAAAGTTATATAAATGTTTAGTATAAAGGGAAATATAATATAGTATAAATATATAAATACTTTTTATTTGCGAAAAAGAAATTTTATGATTAAGATATTTTTTTTAAATAAAATGCTATGTTTTACTTATGTTTATACATAAGTAAACATAAAAGACAATAAAACGAATTCAAAAATTTATATTAAGAAAGTTCAATCTATTTTATTCAGTGATATATATCAAAATTATTGGAAAATTAAGACAATACTTGCTATTCAATTGAATATTATTTGACTATTTGAGAAAATATTTTTATTGGAAATCTCGGATAATGAACGTAAAAATAATTTATCGCTTTCAATTTTGAAATTTCAATTTTATTCAAGTATTCAAAGTATCAAGAATTCTCGTTCATTTTTATATATAATATTCAAATATTAAACTTTTATATATTTTAAAAAAACTAAAATATAAAATAAAAAAATAATAAAATATAATCACAATCTCATAATATTATTGAGAAATAAAGTGTTAAATGCTAAAATTTTATTTTTTTAAACAGCATTTTAAATTCATATAATTATAATTAATATTAATTATAATAATAATTATATTGTTATAATATATTAATACATATATTAATATTAATACATTATATTAATAATTAAATATTATTTTAAAAATATTAAATAAAAAATGATAACTAAAAACTTTGATACATATCTATATTTCATATATTAAATATATACTTTTGTATCGAATTATATGTATTATTTATTATCAATATTAGTATCCATCCGATCACTAACAGTAGATTTAAAATCTAAAGCCTTCACTTCTCTAGTTTCACCTGTGTGGCTTTGCCTTCAGCATTGTATATAAAAAACGGGACACTTATGCCCATAAAAGGACAGACTGAATAGCATTCTACATTCTATAGAAAGCTATAAGAAATAAAAAAATTTCAACTGTTCGAATGATGCATTAAAATATAGAAATTTATTAGTATTTATTAAATCGAAAATAACTGAAAAACTAGTGCATAGAATAAAATAAGGCCTTAAGAATTGAATCAACTAAATATCAATGTAAAGTAATATATATATATATGATCAATTTTGAATTCATTATTTTGTAATATCTTTCAATAAATCATAAAAAATTATTCTGTGTAGTTTCATTATGTTAAATTTTATTTTATAAGTGACTTTTATAATAATATAGTTAATATAATTAGAAACAGATTCCTCTAAATGAATGCATTATTATATATTATTTTAATTTATTGCAATCTAATTGTTAGTAAATATTTTTAATTATTTGTATACAATATTAATGTTAATCTTCATCTAAAAAATAATAATTTTTGATATTCCATGTATTCATTTTGTATTATATTATCATTTGAAATGAATGAATTTCAATTTTTACTTATAATACATCTCTTTTTTAAATTATTTTTTCATTATGTTTTTGAAAAATAATTATTCTTCAAATATTTTTTTATTTATAGAATAATGTTTAATTAAATAAAAACTAATATTTAATTAAAAAAATCTAAAAAAAAGCATCAAATTTTAGTAATTCAGAATATTTATTTATTTTAATAGATTTTTTTTATATTATATTTTTTATATATTATATATTGTTCCTTTTATGATAAAAAAATATATATATAATAAAATATAAAATCATTCATAAAATATACATAATAACATTCAACTTGTATATAAATGCACATAAATTCTGTTCCTTTAATAATACTACAAGCAATTACAAATAATTGAGACTTAAAATGGATCAATAGTGAATTGCATAATAATTTTTGTGCATAGTTAAAAAATTGTTCAATTATATTATTATCCAACTATAGTAAATTTATGAAATGTTTTTAAAAAAACAAAATTTATGACTGAAAACTTTTTGTTCAATTTTCATTGTTCTGAGGATTATTATATAAGAGTTAATAGAATAGAATATTTTTTGTAAAATATTTTTAGAAGATCTATTCAGATCAAAATAAATAGAAAAATTGGCATTTAAAAATATCAATTGAAACTTTTTTTATAAAATTAGAATTTGCATTAGATAAAATAAGATGATAAAGATAAAAGAAAATGATAAAGTAGTATGACAAAAATAAAACGGCCATATTTTATTTTTGTTTCGTTTTATTTAATACGAATTTTATTAATTTACTTAATAACTTAATAAATAAATCTCAACTGACAATTTTATATATCAACTTTTGTATTTATTTATCCTCTCGAAAAGAAATTGATATATCAAAAATGTCTTATAAATATTTTAATATCTTCTATTCATAAGTACTTGTTAAACTCAAATGACCATCTTTAAAACTAAAAATAGAAGATGGTAAAGATGATTTTTTTATTTTCAAAATTATTAACTTCATCAAATCTATTTTAACAACTCTTTCTCTGTTAAACACATTAAGAATAGTTATTTTAATAAAAGTTTATTTTTTATATTTCTTGTTTTCCTTTTTCGCCATAAAACTTTTTCGATTATTTAATATTTAATTATTTTATAATAATTATAAAAATTTAATGTGAAATACAGAATTGAAACTATTATATATATATATATATTGAACTGAAATTATTTTTAACAAAGTAACAAAATTTAACATTATATAATATAATAAAATTTATAATACAATATAACAGAATTTATCAATAAATATCTTATTTCTATTGTTTTCTACTATATACAATGTATAATGAAAATTTAAAATACAAGCTCTAGAAGATGTATATAAAAATACGTCTTTGTATATAAAAGTAAATCGAAAATATAGAACGACAATTATTATTAAAGATTTGTTTTTAAAAAAATCGATTATGAAAATTCATCAAATATGCACTTGTAAAATAATTAAATTTAATCAATTAAATTTTTTTATACTTATTTTTTATAGTTATTTCTGTGTTTATATATGCAAATAATTTTTATAACTTTATTATTATCATATTATTCATGATATTTTTTTCATTTTTCTTTCTTTTTACATTTATTATTTGATTATATGATATTCATCTTCTTATTATGTAAAAATAAAAAAATATAATTTATATTTTATCTCTTTTGATTATTTGATAATTTTAATTGTTTTATATATTATAAATCATATTATAAATTTAAAATATTAAGAAAATATATAGTATTGAACAATACAATATGACAGAAAATGGATGTAATAAAAATCATTCATGAAAGATCTATTACAATTCTATCAACGATTAGAATTAATAATTAGAAACGAGATATGAATATAATAAATAATTAAAAAAAAAAAAAAGAAATTATGACATTACGTCACGAATTTCTATACTGATTTGAGAAATTTGAACTAGTTCATTTGTTTTAATTTTAAAACTGTTACATTTCCGTATATATGTATGTAAGTATGGATATCTTTTTTTTGGACACTCCCTGCCTTTCACATTTTACTGTGTATTAGTCATGGAAGATTGGTAAGGTTACAATAAAATCCGCCTTTACCGCATTGATAGTGTATATTATAGTGTTCTCTTACTAGATCGTTTTCCAAGAATATTGTAAATTGACTTTCAATATCTAAAATTTTACAAATATTTTTATTAACAAATATTCCATAGTTAAAATATTAAAATAATATATATACTTAATATTATATACTTAATTATATACTTATATACTTATATATAATTATATACTTAATATTTATATAATTAATATTACTTAATATAATTATATACTTAAATATTTCGATTATAAAATTAAAATAATATTTGTTGAAATAAAATATTGTTATATCATAATGAAATTAGAGATAATTGAAACCAGATTTTTAAATTCATAAAATTTAAATTTGAAATTTTGTCGGATTTCGAAATTCTTTAAAATACATATTTTTTTTCTTTTTTTCAAAAACTTGTCAAGAAATAAAAATTTTAATAAATCTTGATAGAATTTTTTAAATTCAAATATAATATTTGAGAAATTTCTTGAAATTTCAATATTTGAGACTAGATCTATTTCTGAATAAAATACATCAATTATATCGAAACAAAATTTTTAATTCAAGAATATGTTTATAGAGGAAAAAAAGAGAACTGATTTTTTTTTCGGAGAATTGATTTAAGAAACACAAATGCATTAATCATGATCTTTTACGAAATTCAGAATTGATATGGATCATTCATGACATATATTCTAGTTTTCCGGTTGCAACTCTGTTGCAATTCATTGCGGTTCAAAATCAAATGTCCAGTTCCGTTGCGCTCTAAAAAGCAATGCACACATATGTAATACACACATGTATGTAATGTATGTAATAATTAAATCAATAGATAAACAATCTTTATTTGTATGTAATCTTAAGCACGTATATAATCATATGCATTAATTCCAAAAAAAAGAAATATATAAATGAAATAAATAAAATATATATATAAGAAAATGTAAATTAGAAAAATATATATCAGATATTAAAAGATAAAAAAAATATAAATTTTTAATTCTTTAAATTATATCAATGTGTAATTATATATTTAATATGATGATAATTATAAAAGAAAGCAAGAAATAAAATTTGTGCCGTGAGAATTGTTTTCAAATAAATTTGAAATAATTTAATATAAAAAAATTGAAATAATTTATTATCAATGCATAAATTATGAAATTAAATCATGAACTTTAAAATTAATTAATTAAACTTTAAAATTTACAATTAGATATAATGAATAGATGTACATATATATACATGTATATGTAAATATTGTGAGATTAATCATTTTTTTTATTTTTTTCATTTTTTATTTTATTTTTTATTTCTTATAATTATTTTATTTCTTATAATAAAAAAGAAATTATTAAATATTGTACTATTAATAAAAATCATATCAACAAAAAGGGATAAAAAGTATATAAAATCAAGATGTAATTGAATATTAGATTATTATAGATTTATAGACATCTCTGAAAGCATAATTGAGTTCTTTCACTTAGCATTCGAAGCATGACCGTGAAGAATAATTCTTCAAGAATGTAGCAAAATTATGAAATTGTATCAAAGAATTATTATCATTATTAAATGTTTAAAATATAAATCATATCAATTAATCAATGTTAATATCTTTAAATTTAAATTTTATATAAAATTTTATGGAATACAACTCGTTTATTTTCATTATGTAGTAAGATAATTAATTTCTCACATCATTATTTTGGACAAATAAGTTTTTAAAAATTTTATTTATGATTATACATAAATAATTTAAAGATATTTGAATAAATTACTATTATAAAAGAAATATTTTGTAATATTTATTTAGATTTATTGTATAAATATTTATTTGTGACAAAAATAAAAAATTAAAGAATTATATTGTCAAAATCATTTAGAAAAATCATTTTAAAATTGTTTTTATAAATAATAATATTTATAAATAATTAAATATAAAATATGAATACAATATAAAATTTAAATAATAATTAAATAATAAAAAATTTTGATATAGAAGATAAACAATATTATTCGACATATCTAATTCTCATAATTCAAAATTTGAAATTTTTGTTGTTAAGAAAACACAGCTTATATCCAAAATTTCGACAATTAATTATTGTTATAGAAAACTTTATTTGCGTTTTTTATTAAGTTCCACGAATAATTTTAATATAATATTTCAAAGCTTCTAATTTGATATTTTAATGTGTTTTTATAATAAATAGAAATTAAATTCGTTTTCTTTACAATTTATAATTTTTATGTTGTTATTACAGCAAATGAATAAACGCAGCAAATGAGCATAATATAGTGACTACATAAAATTCTACGATTTGAATAAGTGAAAGTACATGTATTTTTTAATCTAAAGTTTTAACTGATTTTTTATTTTATTTTTATCTATATCGATGCAAATGAATTCTTTTTTAATTTTTCACTTTTTATAGATTGCAGTTTTATATATAATATATATATTTTTATGTATCATATATATATTTATTATAGTATGTATTATATATTTTTATACATATTAAATTGTAACTGCATTTATGTAAAAAAAAAAAAAATGATTATATATAGATACTATAACTAATAACTTTTAAAAATTGTTAAAGTTAATTTAGAAGTACAGTTATAAATAGAAAATTTATATTTTTTTTATATGAAAGATATATAAAAGATTTATTTAATGAAAACTATCAAATATTTTATAGTTTTATATAAATTTTTTATATAAATTCAATAATTAATATGAAATTATAAGAAATTTTTAATTCTTTTTTAAAAACTAATTTATTTTCTGTATCATTCAACATTATTAATTTATTTTACATATTTAATTAAAATATTTTCTAAATATAAAATTCTACATATTATTTCTTTATTTTATTGAAATTTTATTAAATTAAAATACTATTTTAAACATCATATATATTAAAATAATTATTTTAAAACATAGAATAAATAATTAAATTAATTAACGAATTAATTCACTTTTATATTTCTTGAATCATTAATTAAATCTGAATATTATAAGTATTTCTAAAATTATAATTTTTATAGATTATGATCTTATATTGTATATATTGTAATTAATTAATTTTTTAAAAGATTTTTATTATATTGAAAAACAAAATTATTATAAATTTCTTGAAAAATATATAAAAAATAATGTAATATTTTATAATTAAATATATTGTTACCTAATTTAAAAAAATGGAAAATATAAATAAATAATATATTGTTAATAATAACTTTCAATACTCACAAAGTTTAATACTGGTCAAATGTATAAAGAATGAGTGCTGTTTCTGGACGAGGAAACAACTAAGAACTGATACCACTTACCTGGTTATCGTACCTCTTATAGGTCTGTACTCAGAGCTAATGGTAATACGATGGTTACGGAAGGGGTTCAGGATGTTGAGAATAATGGTATATAATGCCATTTCTTGAAACAAACGAAGAAATTCAAATTTATAATAATTTATAATCTATAATTATAAATAAATATTTTCAAATTAATTTAATATAGAATAAATAAATATATTTATATATTTTTTTTAATTATCACAGGATTTTAAATATTAATCCATAATTATATATATCATCGTTAAAATATTAAAAATCATATAAATTACAAGTTATCTATTATATAAAAAAATACTATTGCGTTACAATATTCATAACAATTGTATTAATAACAAATAAAGTTTTAAAAATTATAAATTATTTGATCATTATTCTATATATATATTTAAAATTGTAAAAGAAGAATTAAAAACTTATTAAAAGAATTAATAACTCATTGAATCATTTATATGATTAATTAATATAAATTATTTTATAAGAGAACTTTAAGGAACGAAATATTATATATATAATATTGTTATAATTAAAATCTAATCAAATTAATTATCTTTTTTTACAATAAAAATTCAAAATTTTAAAAACATAAAATCATAATCTTAAAATTTTAAAAACATATCTATAAATGTAATTATATAAAAAATTAAATTTTATTTATATATTTAATTTTAATTTTAATATACGATTTGGTTTATAATATCCAAAAAAGAAATTAAAATTCTCTTATCTCAATATATATATATATGTACACAAATATAAAAAGTTAAATAAATAAATAGATAATAGGTATCGTTCGCTGCATTGCATATCCACCCTTCTTCGACATGTAAAATTCGATACAACCGCGTTTCATTCGTTTCTCTCGTCAACGTGCTTTCACATACGTCATACTAATTAGAAATAATTTAATATTCCGATATATGATGATTTATATGAACTACAATCCGGCATTCACCTAAATTCGTTTCTTTCAGAATGTACATCTTTTACATTCTTTATATCGGTGAGTACTTTTGACTAAACCTAACGCTAATTCTTCATTTTCTAACCAAATAAATATATTTTAGTACTGCTGACTTTCGAATATTTAGATTGTGGAAGGGTTCATAAGATTCCAGTTACCTTAGTAAGTCTAATCTTATTCCTTATTACGTATTTATGCAATTATTAATTCTTTCATGTTCTTGCATTCTAATAAAGAATCATTTAGTAACCTTCAATGAGAAAACTTGAATTCGTGTCATACACTTATGAATTCAGTTTATTTATTACAAGGTAACATACAAATAACTATGCAAATTTATCATTTTCCTAGAGAAATATTTATATAATAATATTTTTGAGTTAATATATTCCGTTTCGAATAAAGCTAAAATATGAAATATGAAATAGATATCTAAATATAATAATGGAAATCTCTTTCAAAAATTAGAAACATTTCCAAGAAATTATTATAAATTTATGTAACCAAATAATATATCTTTTATAACATATTTATAATGATCATTAAAATCTTTCTATTAGAATCAAAGAGAAATACGTTACGCCGAAGGAGGAACTTGTAACAGCAATCCAGTTAGTCCAAATAATTCAAAAAAAACTACAGAAAAAAGTAGTAACATCGCGCAGAAAGCTGCACAGGAAGCTAAAGCTGCTTCAGATGCACAGAATATTGCTGGTCAGCAAGCCGCACGTCAAGTACTTATTTTTTTTAATATATGCGTTTATTTTGATTATAAAAATATAATTAAATAATTTATGTCTTTTTTTTGAAACATAACTTATCATTCCTCCAATCCAAATGTTTGTTATAGCAAAAATTATCTTAAATCAGGAAACTAATATTATTTATTCATTTTTCATATTTTTTAAAACAATTTTATTTAAATTATGAATAATGAAAGAATTATATTACATTAAATTTTAATCAAATTCTGTGTAATGAACTCGATTACGTCAGATTTGTTTCTCACGTGCAGAACTGATGCGTATATTTTATGAACATTCGCATCATTCATTATTGCGAAAACGTACATAAGACAACTTGCGTTCTTTGCAAAATTACTAAACTTTAATTCCCACATAGTATGTGAAAATAATTGTTTTGTAGCGTGTAACATTTCACTAAGCAAATATTAGGTCATTGACTGAGTTTTGCGGATCTTTTACCTTAAAATATTCATTAAAATAATGTCTGTGCAATTATTCTCCTTCTAATTGAGATAATATCATTAATTTGAATGATTCATTCCAGCAGAAAATTAGATTCATTTATAAGAATTTTTTGTTACAAGAAAAAATAATAATCACTTTCTCATTTTCGTTGTATTAATCTTTCATATTATATTGTAATATTTAAATTAAATTATCAATTTTTAAGAAAATCACACAATTATTTTTACTTTTATATATGTAGAAATATATATATGTGTAAATATTTTTATTTTTATATATTATATAGAAAATTTTATAATGAAAATTTTCATTATTTTTGTTTCAATGCAAATAATAAATCGAAATATAATAAATAGAAATAATTTATGATTTGAACAAATAATGAAGAAAATATTGAAAATTTATTGTATATATATTGTATTATATATATTAAATATTTTATATTTGTTATAATAAATTTTTTAATATTTCTTTTCAATTTTATTCAGAAATATATTTTTATATAATTATAAAAGAGAAAGATTATTTTATTATTATAAAGGAAAGTTATCTTCAAAAAGATTGGAAAATATTAAAAATAGTTGAAATATATAATATTTGAACAATAAGATTTATTAAAAATGATTTTTTTTTTAATTTATTTCATTGTCACAATTTTAGGAACATGCTACAAAATGACATTTTCGATCATCTTGACATCACATATAATGTTCTCTGCCAATGTATTTTACAATCAATGAATTCATTGATATATTTTGATTAAAAAAATGGCTTTTAAAACAAAAAAACTCGATATGAAAAATATCTCACTATAATCTATCATCATTGCGTAACAATTCACAAAATTTAGTTAAAAATCTAACATTATACACTCTGAAAATTAAAATAAAAATGTAATTTGATTTTTTAATTTATTATTTAATAATGATTAAACGTATAATATATTTGCTAGCTATATTAAAAAGTTTTCTTAAATATAGGTGAAAACACAACTTGCTGAAAAAGCAGTACAGGCTGCAAAAGCTGCAGAAGAGGTGCTTACAGGGAAGAAAGTAATAGTAGATCAATTACAAGAAGAAGTGAGGGAAGCACAATCAGTTGTTCAAGAAGAGTCCGCATCTATGGAACAAGAACAAGCTAATGTTAATGCTGCTGTACAAGCAGCACGTCAGTCACAAGATCAGGTAATCTTTAAATTTTAAAAAATGAAAATTTGTATTACTAGATTGGAATATAAATAATTTCGCTTATGAAATTTTTCATTAGTATTATAATTTATAATTATAATTTATAATATATAATTATTTTTGTATTATAATTTTAAAAAAATTTAAAGTTAAAAAAGTATTTATGAGTAAAAGAATTGTATATTATATATAATTGTATATAATTGTATATTAATTTTATTTATATTTAGACTTTTTCAAAAAGATTCTCTTCTCATAAATAAAATATTCTTTATTTTTCTTTATCACAATCATTAAAAATATATAATACAAATCTTTGATACTTTTTTTGAATAGAAACAATAACTTATTTATTTCACAATAATTAAAATCTTCTTTTAATATTCTTCTAAAATAAGAAATATTTACCTATATTTTGAACAAAACGTAAATATATCTATAAATATAATATATGAAAATTCAATATGAATATGTATGTATATATATATGTTATATGTATATATTTTATATGTGTATATATATATATATATATATATATATATATATATATATATATATACCCATAAAATAATATTTTTTGTTATTATTTTAATTTATTTTAATTTAATTTACAAAATACTTACAAAATATTTCCTCAATATTTTTAAATATAAAATATAATATAAAATATTATATTTATTTATTTTTTAATTATTAAAATATTATATTTCACGAAATCATTTTCATCGATTTTCATAAATTGTGTGACGTACAAAGAATTAAGCAATGCATATAATCTGCATATACTTACGTTCAACCATTCACTGAGGTCATTCAGTTTCCTATATGATTCATTTTATTGTTGGATATGATTCTGCTATCGATACGATGAAATAGTTTCAATATTTTAAAAATGGGATAGCTTGATCGAAGAAATCGATTTATATTTTTTTTTCTTGATGCTGATGCAGTTGAAAACATTAACACGCGCCATGCAAACAGCTAAAGCGAATGCAGCAAACGCGCAGGCTGCTGCGAACGGAGCGCAAAAAAGTTTACGAGAGAAAGAAGAATTGGTAGATGCGGCGAAAAGGCGGGTTGAAGAATTATCTAGTCAGTTGAAGAATGCTAGACAAGAGCTTGCTAACACGAATCGTGCGGCTGCTAGGGCAAGTGCTGCTGCTAGCGAAGCGAAAGCGAACGCTAGCAGGAACAAAAGACGATTGGAGAACATTCGAAAGATGAGGACCATGAAAAAAAGGTAGATAACAATTTTCTTGCTTTCCAAGATCGATATTTGTGCAAATAATATCCTACATAAAATCATTTCATTCGAATATTTGTCACTATTTATGATACAAAAAGAAATAAAAATTGAATGATTTGAATGAGATGCATGATTTTTTTTTATAGATAAGTATAAAGAAGTCATATGAAGGACTAATTTTTGAAATGAACTATTCAATTTTTATTACACTAATAGATATAGTTATAATTATTTTCTATAGAAAATTACTAGGCCATTTATATTGAAAAATCTTTAATTTAAGAGATATTTTTATTTAAAGTTTGTAAAATTTATCATATGAAAAATATGCAAAAAGATATATTCAATAGTTAAAATTTTTCTTAAAAATTTCATCAATTTTTTATCATAAAATCAAACTTTTATCAAATATTTTTATTATAAATATTTTTAGTCAGTTAAATACTTTTTTGTAGGAAATAAGAAAATATATTCATAAATGCAATAAAATTATATGATTCTATTTAAAAAATTAAAGTTGTTTTTCATATAATCTCTATATATTTACAAAACTAATCATTCAAATTGTGCTTCCTGAAATCATTCAACTTTTATTTTTTTGTATCATTAACATAGCAATAGATTTAAGTATTTATTAAATTTGTATTAATACTATGATAATTTTATATATTCAAATAGTAAAAAAGATGTAAAATAATATATTTAAAGTTGATCTCAAAAATATGCAATTATATTATATATTTATAGAAAATTATAACAAAAAAGCAACTTGATATTAACTTTTTATATATTTAATAAATATTATAATATTAATTTATTCTACAATTATAATTTAATTTTTTAAGAGAAAAACATAGAATAAAAATGAAAAATCATATAATAAAAACTATATATTTAGAAAACAAGACACTTTTGAGACTAATTGTAAATCTATATATATTTATGATTTTTTTTTTTTTTGATTATGAATATAAATTAAAATATATACATATAAAATACATATATTCTACAGTTGCACATTATTTTCTAATGTAATATTTATTCCTATAGAAGATATAGTAAAATTATTAAAATATTTTATTATTTCTATTTATATAATATTATAAATTATTTATAAAAAAAATATTTATAATTTACATATTTTTAAAATATATTTCATCAAAAAAATAAATTTTATAAAAATTGAAATCTTAATATTTTTGAAAAATTTAACTACTTAAATACGAGATATGTATAACTGTTATGAAAATATTTATTGATATTTTCTATCAAATATATCATTGTATTTATTATAATATTTGTATACTAATCAATTATATAAGAATTTTATGAAAATGAAATGAAAACATGATTAAAGAATAAGGCTACAAACACAAATACTTTATAAATATAATGTTATTATGTTATTTATTATATTATTATTATATTATTTATTATATTATATATTTATATTATTATAATTATAGTAATTATAATAATATAATAATAAATCATTGTTTTTTTTAATATATTTTATATAATAATTATATTTTTTTTATTTTCAGATGCATACATGCTTAAAAAAGAACTAATGAAGTAATGACTCTGAAAAACTTATAATAATATTACATCGATTAATTAGATATAAATTTATGCTAAAATATAATATTAGAAGTAAATAGCAAACTTATATCTTTATATTTTCCAACTTTTACAACATAAAATAACATATCAATAGAAGAAATAATCAACTCTTACTGCAACAATTTATTTTTATAAAAACAATTTATAAATGAACGTAGTAACGAAATTATGAAATATTTATGTAATAATGAAATATTTTTCTTGAAAATAATTCATTATAACTCAAAATTGATTTTGATCTATATGATTTTCAATATTATTATTTTTCATAAATCCTTTTTTTTTATCATAACATTATGGCTATTACATTACATTATATTATATTACATTTATGGCTATTTACATTAAAAAATTAATAAAAATTCTTTTATTTTATTTAGATAATTTTTTATTTAATACATTTCGTGTATTAACGTAACATTCATAATTTCCTACTCCTTAATATAAATTAAATTTTAACTGTAAAATATTTTTGATTTGAAAATTGATTATCAAAATTTCGAATTATGTGTAAAGCATCAGTAATCAAAATTAAATATGAAGAGTTCAGAAATAAAAGAAATTTTAATTCTATGTTATGAAGTTTTTATTATTGAATATCTTGAAATACAATATTATAAATTTTATGTATAATAAAAATCATTATCTCAAGTTTTTCCCAAACTCCTTTTGGATATCTCACCATTTTTAATTAATTGAAATGGCAGTCTATTACGTCAATGATCTTTTATCGCATATCGTTTTTAGTCACGATTCCTGACATTTACATTGAAATCGTGATTTACACAAACTTACGTACTGTCACGCATCAGCGAACTAGATCCTTTCTAGTGCAATGACGTATTTGTACAGTACTCGTATTGAATTCAATGATGGAACGAATATCCTTTGATAGAATTTGTTACAAATTTTTTAAATACTATATCATTATATTATATATATATCATTATTTATCATTTGTAATTTTTTTTAAAAATATATTATTTCACGTATAATTTATCGCTATAATCCAGATAATAGTCAATAAAATTTTTTCAGAGAAGAAAAAAGGTAAGTAATTATATTTATTTTACAATATGCTACATTCTACATTTATTGTACATATAAATAAATGAATATTTCTTTCTTCACGTACCTATAATGTAGTACATATCATATGATCAAAATCTTATAATAATTAAAATCTTATAATAATTATTATTATCATAATTATATTGATAATTATTATATTGATATATATTGATAATTATTATTATCAATGAAATAATATTTTAAGATTTTTTTATTATTATTAATATATAAAACAATACTTCAATTATTTTTCAATTAAATTCAAGTAAAATAATAAAATAATAAAATGTATAATTTATCACAAATTTAAATTTATCTATACAATATTTACAATATATACAATATTACATGTAAATATTGATACGACAATATTTAAAAATATGATTACGATATACGATTCAATTATTCGCAATATAATTGTAAAATTTATTGAAATTTATTAAGAATATTAATATTAGAATTTCTTGTAATATCATTATTTTTCAATATAATCTTACTTGTTAGTACATTTAATTCATCGCCATATAAATTTTTTTTTATTGCTTTAAAAAGAAATTTCTATTGAGAAGTAAACCATATATATTGCTTTCTTCAATTATTGATCCGTAACATGATGCTTATATAATCATTTTTAAATTTATCTACTCATATAAACTACATTAAGCAAAAACATTAACCTATACTATATTGAAAGTTATTTTTATTTTAATTTTTGATATATCTTTAAATTCAGTACTTTCATGATAAAGAAAATTAAATTAACATTCGTTGAAACCAATATAGTCGTGATAAAGATTGTCAAATATTGATTTTTTTAATCTTACAATATAAAAAAATATGATACATATAAAAAAATATTACTAAATTGTGAATAATTATATCACTCTTATATTTGCTTTATTTCAATTAATTAAAAATTAACAATATTTTTATCATAATATTTAATACAAAAAAAAAATAAAAATATATATACATCTTTCAAACAATCAATTTCACAAAAATGAGCATGAATAATAATAGTTGATAAATGAAATCTAAAAAATGCAAGATTATAAAAATTATTTCATAAAATTATTTTCAAAATTATTTTTAAGGGTGATAAAACACATTGATGCATAATTTCTAAAGTAAAAGAAGGCAATGCGAAAAATATAGAGAGATATAAATAATAAAATAATAAATAATAAATAATAAAAATACAAATATATGAAATTGCAAATTTTTTATTCCGAAATAATCTTCAAAAAATTTAATACAACATCATATCAGTTATTTAATTATAATTATATTTATATAATTTATAATTAATATATTTAAAATAATTTAAAAATTGTTTTAATTGAATTGTTAAAATTGAATTTTTTGTTAAAATTGGTATATATTATCAAATTTGAATTCAAATCATTTTAATTCAATTTTAATTATGATTTAAAAAAAATCTATAATATATAAGAGAAAATAAATTTAAGAAATCGATGTGATGTTTAAATCGATGTTATTATATAAACAATCTAATTATATGAATGTGAATCTCTTGACAAACTCATAGAAATGAAATTTTACTATTTGTTAAATAAATAATTACATCTTTTTTAAATAAATAATTAATATAATTATATTAATATAATTATAATTAATATATATAATATAATTATATATCTGAATCTAAAAAAATCCCTAACATTGAAATTAAGAAGTGATTAATTTGATATAAAATGACTCAAATATTATTCTTTAAAATTAAGAGAATTTATAAGAAATTATATTATCTTATTCTATGTTTAAATTGTAAAGTACAAATGAAAAATGATTTTTTTGGTAAAAATAATTAAATAATTTACTCATATCGAATTTTTTTAAAATCTAAATCTAATCTAAAAAAAAAAATCATAACATATTTATGTTATAAAGTACTAAATATATCTATTATAAATACTCAAATAAAGCTAAAATTTTTTATATAAAAAGTAGTAAGTATACATATATAAGTATTATATACATATATATTTTTTTATAGTCTGTAAGAAAAAGTTAAAATATAAACTATAAAATAAATATATATATGATTATACTGCATAATCACTATTTAAAATGACTTTCATATTTTAAAATTTCAAATAATTTTATGTAGAGTAAAACTTATAAAGATTCAAGTAATTGCTAGTATTGTAAAGGAATGGTTAACTAGAACGTGCGAAAAATATCAAAAGGATTTTGTTAACCAAGTATAGAAAAGTATAGAAATAAGTGTAGAATGAAAAAATTAATAGATATATGTATAATGAACTATTATAGAAGTTGATACAAAACTCATTTACCAAATTTAAAATTTAATTATATTTAATTATAAAAATATAGTAAAATAGAATTAATATAGTAAAATAGCTTTAAAAAAAATACACAATTATATTTTATTTAAAAAATTTGATAGTTATAATTAAAGAATGTGAAATCAAGAATATATTTAATAATAACAAATTACTTTTAAAATTAATAAATTTCATAAATGATATTTTCTTGTAAATAATTAAATTAGATTAATAAAATATTAATAATATATTAATAAAAATGATAATTTTAGATTAAAAAGTTAATAAATTTAATCAATTATAAATTTTATTAATACATTAATAAATTAATATATAAAAAATATAAAGTCAATCACAGAAATATTCAAATATATATTTTATATATTATAAAAAATCATATCGTATATATATTATAGAAAAGAAATTATTTTTTCTAAAAATTCTAAAAAAAATGAAGTTTATATATAATATATAAGCTATTGAAAGATTATATGGAATAGGAATTCAATTTCTAAAAATTTAGTATTTTTTAATTTTAAAGCAATAAACAATTTCATCTGAATCTGACATATTTTTCACAATAGAATAAAGTTGGAGAGAAGAGTAGAGAGAGAGAATAGAGTTTTTTATTAGATTAAACATTTTATAGTTTAAAATTTTGCTTTATCTCTTATCTTTATAAAATTTTATCTAAAAAAACGAAAAAATATTAAAATTTTGAACATTGATTTTATTTTTTTAAAATTATTCTGCTGAAAAAAATTATCGTATATGTAATTATTTTTAGTTTATTATTCATACATTTTAAAAATAAATATATATTAAAAATAAAAAAAAATTAAAATAAAAAACAAACAGATTAAATTTTTCTAATATAAATAATTGTGATTGATTAAAATATAAAATATTAATAATTATAAAATTTAAATATTTTATATTACATTATATATTATTAATTATTATATTAAATATTATTTATTTATATTTTATATTAATGATATTTTGATATTCATCAGAAACTAAAAAAAGGAAAGTTCTAAAGGAATATATTTATGTTATTATCGATACTAATAAACATGATTTTACCTATAAAATGAAGAATATCTGAAGAATATTGAGAAGCAGCAGAATCACACAATGAAGATATTTTATGAAATATTTTATTCGTATCACAAATTCTGAAATATTGATCCTGAGAGAAACAAAATTTTGTACATTCTTTATGATTTATTATGGCTAACAGAATCTATATTCATTTTATTCTTAAAAAAAATATATGTATATAATATTTTTTAAACACTTGATGAAAGTCAATTCTAAAAGTTACTTTTTAGAATGTCAATTCTAAAAACTAAAACAAATAAAAGTTAATGCACAAAAATATTAATTGAGGTTTATTTATTAAATTATAATTAAATTTGCGTTAAATGAAGCGAAAAATAGATAGTAATAATATTTAAAAGTGTTCTAAGATATTTTTGAAGGTATGAATTGATTATTAATTTTTTATAGATAAAAAATTATATACATTTTAAATTATTATTCAAACATAAGTATTAAAATTTATGATCAATGGTTATTATAGAAATATAAATATATTTTGAAATAAAAAGTAAAAAGTAAAATTATATAAAAATGATTGAATAAAAATAGAATAAATACATACAA